ACATCCACTGAGATGCAAACGCCTCAAGCAGGTTCTTCGAGAGACTGTGATGAAGTACTTCGCAGAGTGGACTTCGTCTGCAGCTTCCCTGTGGGTCATGTCGGCAACCTTGGCTGCCAAGTCCGTGTCATCGCCATCTCCATCTTCATGGTCATTCCAATCCCCATCAAGAATGGTCAACGTGGGGTAGATACCTCCAAGTGACTGTCTGCCTCCCCAATCAGAGAGCACTGAATGCCTCTTCTTGATGCGATTGGGGTTCGCTCCAGCTTTCTCCGCTGCATCACACAGCCTCTGAATGGGTTCATCTTCATAGTAGACTTCTTCCAGTCCTTCAACTAGTGACCTGTTGACGGCCTTCTGGATCTTGAAGACCACCTGTCTTGATGTCCTGACATATTCCTCTGATGAAGTCATGCCCATTGACCACCGTCCCAGAAAAGCCCTCTCATCGCGAGAGAACCCAATGACTGCAGCAATCGAGGTCAAGAAATTCCTCGCACTGTGTCCTGAGAAAAATGATTCCAATCCATCTGGCAATAAAAGAAGGTGGGGCATCAATTCCCATCCAATCCCAGAGCGCTTCGGACAACTGAGTGTGCTCAGCAACTTCGCAATCAAAGAACTGAGACCCGACGGTGTGACAAATTTCCGTCTCACCTTCGTCCAATCCTTGCTGGGCTCCATCACCATGTAGTCCCTGGGAAAGCTGAATTCATCTGACTCCCAGATGTTGAAACCACACCTCAACCAATCTTCTCCAGTCAAGGAAATGGTGCGAAAAATGTGCACCGCCACTTCTTTCTGAACCTTGTCTGGACCAGTCGTCTTCGACTTTCCCAAGATCAGCTTCAGACCAAAATTCGAGAGGAAGGAGCGCCTGGGAATGATCGCCTGAACATCGTCGCATCTCATGGCGCCCCAAATCATCACGAGGATCACCCATGCCAATGCCCTGGAAAAGATCGTTGCTGCTTCTTCAACAACCAAGAGCTCCAATGCGATCACCATCGCAACTGTAAACATCTCCGCTGGTTTTCTCGGCGGTGAATCCTCACCGAGCTCTGCTGTCCACGACTTGATGTGTCCCTTCCACAATGGATCATCAGAAATCCTTGCAGAGTCTGGCACCCGTCCAAGTTGCTCCAACATACCCAGAGTGATGCTCAACGACTCTGGAACTGTCCTACCACAACCGTTGTCGACCCTGTGCTGCATGTAATCGATGGCATCCTTCACAGATTGGGGAAAAAGATAACCCCGATGCATCTCCAGCCACTTCTCAAACGGCTTCCAGACCTTGTACCTGGATTTCAAGGTGTTCGCCCTCCTTGCAGCAAAGATATGAATCCAAGCAGAATTGGCATCGTCCAGAGTCTGAATGAGAGCCACAATCGGCAGCTGTGCATTGATCATCACCTGGGCCAATAACAAGGAATACTTCTTCCTTTCCGAGTCAAACTTCTTGGACCGAACGTCAGGGGCATCCTCCCTATACTTCTTCTGCTTCCGCTTCGAATGCATCTCCAAAATGCAATGAACACTTGTTTTCGTGATGCGTTGATATTCATCTTGTACATTCAAAACATCTGGCAGGGGGAGCACATGCATTGCAGATGAAACCGTTACCAACCTCACCCGCTTCAATGGCCTGCTGACTTCTGCCTTCCACTGCAGCAAAATTGCAGTAGCGTTCCGCTTTTCCTCATCGACCATATGAGGGAATGCCTCAACCAGCATCTCTTCACAGTCTGCCTCCCCATCAAATGCTGCGTCCAAACGCAACGGAGACACAAAGACTCGCTGCAGAAAGCTGAGCAACCCTGGTTCGACAGCAGGCCATGCACTATCCATATAGAACCATGAATCTACGTCCAATCAAGATTGGAAAGTGAAACGCCCCCACCTACCTCAAACTGATTTTGAAGCCAGCGCTTCTCGAAATATGTAATGTTCGAAATGTCTTCCAAGAACTTGATCAATGCTGCACCCAAACTCCAATGAAACTCTTTCAGTAAAAATTCAAAGCAGCACAGCAAAATCCAGATTGTAACTGCAGAAAAATAAAAACAGTCTCAACTGTTTCTGTCGTTTCACATGAACTCCACAAGCAGCACCGAAAATAAACCACAAGGAAACTGAACTCACAAAAACGAAATGAACTGTCAACTTCACGAGGTCTGACATGAAGTGTTGTACCAGGCACCAAGGTTGTAAACTGTTGAAGGCACTGCCAACAATCAACAGGTACATCAACACAGTAACACCAACGGAATCTAGAAACCATCAACTCAGTGATCCCCACCCTCCCACCCGGCCAATACTTGGTTTCACATAGACACACTGAGCAAGCTCAGTGATGCTTTGTGGTGGCAGTGTGTCGGATGCTGCAGGTGGAAGAGGCATCGGCTGCCGAATTGGAAGAACTTCGCCTTGGAGCTGTTTCAGAGGGCAAGGAGTGGCTCAGTCGTGCTTTGTCGGAAATGTCAGCTCGTCAGCTTCGAGTTCTGGCTGCTGCGGGTGGTGTGGAGACACGATCCGGCAAGGCGTGGCTGCCTGTAGCAGATCTGCGCACCTCGTTGATGAAAGTCTTGGAACCTTCCACGGAGGTTGGGTTCAACCAAAAAATGTGTTGTGACATGAGTTGTTTTTGTGACCGAATTTGAATGTTTGTCACATGGTGCGATGTTGTAGGATGATGGTGGTTTTGTGGTGGCAGTGTGTCGGATGCCGTAGGTGGAAGAGGCATCGGCTGCCGAATTGGAAGAACTTCGCCTTGGAGCTGTTTCACAGGGCAAGGAGTGGCTCAGTCGTTCTTTGTCGGAAATGTCAGCTCGTCAGCTTCGAGTTCTGGCTGCTGCGGGTGGTGTGGAGACACGATCCGGCAAGGCGTGGCTGCCTGTAGCAGAACTGCGCAACTCGTTGATGAAAGTCTTGGAACCCTCCACGGAGGTTGGGTTCAACCAAAAAATGTGTTGTGACATGAGTTGTTTTTGTGACCGAATTTGAATGTTTGTCACATGGTGCGATGTTGTAGGATGATGGTGGTTTTGTGGTGGCAGTGTGTCGGATGCCGCAGGTGGAAGAGGCATCGGCTGCCAAATTGGAAGAACTTCGCCTTGGAGCTGTTTCACAGGGCAAGGAGTGGCTGAGTCGTTCTTTGTCGGAAATGTCAGCTCGTCAGCTTCGAGTTCTGGCTGCTGCGGGTGGTGCGAAGACAAAGTCTGACGGGATTTGGCTGCCTGTAGGAGAGCTGCGCAACTCGTTGATGAAAGTCTTGGAACCCTCCACGGAGGTTGGGTTCAACCAAAAAATGTGTTGTGACATGAGTTGTTTTTGTGACCGAATTTGCATGTTTGTCAGACATGGCATCATGTTTGTGACATACCAGGGATCGACAAACAAATATCTTCAACATTTGTTGCATCTCTTTAGGTCTCTGTAGGGGCTGTCCGTGAGATCTCGAGAATTGCATAGTGATCATGCCAATTTTCGTTTGTGATGTAGTGGATCTATGTGTTATTATTTCATTGATATGCATGAGGAGCGGGGAAAAAATGTAGGATGATGGTTGTTTTGTGGTGGCGGTGTGTTCCATGCTGTAGGTGGACGAAGCATCGGCTGCCAAATTGGAAGAACTTCACCTTGGAGCTGTTTCAGAGGGTGAGGAGTGGCTCCATCGTGCTTTGTACAAAATACCTGCAGAGGAGCTTCGAGTCCTGGCCACTGCGGGTGGTGTGGAGACACATTCCAACCGGAATTGGTTGCCTGTAGCAGAGCTGCGCAGATCGTTGATGAAAGTCTTGGCGACTTCCACGGAGGTTGGGTGCAATAAAAAAAGGCATCTTGAAGTTTTTATAGGAGCTGTTTGTGAGATCTCGAGAATTGAATAGTGATTATGCCGGCAATTGTAGATTGTCGGCATTGCAAAAACGTCAAGTGCGGCTGTTTTTTTAATTTATTTTTTTAGCAGGAGCCGTGTCACGATGATACCCTTGCATCTGGTGCAAGTGTCTTGTGGGGCTGGCTGAAACGATGTTTGGAAAGTCCTGCGGCGCCTGATACTACATTGCTTCGAGATGCTGTTCCAGAACAAAAAGATCGCATGCGTATTTTGGCGGTTTTGGCCGACAAGACCATGGGTCAGGTGGAGGGATTGCATCTTTCGCTTGCTTCTTTGGATGCTCGTGTGGTGGATGCGACGTTGCCGCTTCTTGCTACTTTCGATGAAGTGCAGCAATCGTGGCCCAGCAAAGCTGTCACGGATTCTGTTGATTTATTGGATTTACCAGGTTACTTCGCCTCCATTGGCATGGAGCATTTGCTGCGGCATCAAGTCGTGGCATTGTTGTCCTGTGTTTTGCTGAGTGTATCGGAAGAAAGACGACTTCAATGGTGTCGTTTGGTGGGGTTCACCATCGACGCGGACATGTTGGAAGTGGCGAGCCGTTTGTGGGATGTCCACACACTTACAGCTGCTTGTGAATGGGACAGTTCTGGTGGTTATGAGGATCGTGACAATGTGGTGGAGGTGAGTGGTTGTCGAAACTATTGTATGGCCTGCGTTAGTTTTTTTTTTCGTGTCTTGCCGGTTCGCGGTGGTTTGGTCTTTGCGTTGCTTGCAGGTGGTCCTTGGCATCCTGTGGGGCACGAAAGCGTTGGTGGTGGATGATGAGGGCGAGGTGCGCCGGCGTCGAGGTAAGTTGGATGCTGCAGACGCGACGTACCTGCGATGCCTGATGCGGAGATATGGTTGGGAAAGATTTGACCAGGACGTGGAGGTGTGCTATTGGTCCGAATGTTTTCCATCTGCTCGCTATGGGAACAAGAAGTGTTTACAGTTTGCTTGGCTTTTGCTGACGCAGTTACTTCATCCTCGCCAGACGCCTGCATTGCAAGCTATGCGCTCACGTCACGATCCAGTGACGGTCGGAGAACTCCGTGATTCCAGGACGAGTGCGTGTCGTTGTTGTGTGTTTTGTGTACTTTTCTTACCTTTGTCACCTTTGCGGGTCATCAATTTTGCACTCTTCCACTTTGACATTCTGCAGGTGCAATTGAAGTAGCAAGGACGAGCGCATATCTGCGATGTTGGGCGTGACGAACAAATGCGCAGAACCATAATGCCACCCAGCCGCATGTCCACGCAACCGGATCTGGCTGCGGTGCCCTTCCATGCCAATGATGCTCGAAGTTGCCTGAAGCACTCCTCCCAATGCTCGCTTCAAGGCCACATCCACCTGCGGATCTCGCAGCAACTCCCTGAGGTCCGCATTGTCTCCATGCAATGCCATTGCCTTGAGCAATTGGTCCGTGTTGACTTCAGAAATAACACGACAATGTTTGCCAAAGCCACGACGCATCACATGCGCTTTCGTCGCACGCATCAACTGCAATCGACGCTGCACGTCGTACATCACTGGAAGCAACGTCTCCTGCCCGCATACTTGGAACAAAGGCGACAAAACTCAAAAACTGAAACCACCAAAACACAACCACCAAACCATCCTGGGAAAACAGAAAACTCAGCAACAATTGTATAAACCAAATCCAAAGCACTGAAAGCGACCATCTTGGCAACAAGGCATCACCCTCACTGTAATGCAGTTCTTCCCGAAGCAACAAATATCGAAACACTTCTGTTGCATCCATGTTGGCTTCACGCTTCAAAAAAGGCAAGCCATCACCCCATGGAAACAAATCCGGAAACGACATGCCCCAGGTGGCCGGATCAAACATCGACAGCGGTTCGTCTCTGGTCGGAACAACCAACTTGGAAGGTTTGACTTGGAACATAGCTGATTCCACATTCCGCTCATTTTCAGCCGTGCCACGGGCAATCTTCTGAATTCTCCGAATTTTTTGAAGTGTTCGCCTCTCTTGGGCTCCTTCACGACCCAAAAGTTCACCAGGAACAGATGCATCCGGGGCCGGCATTTCATTGTTGATGCGGTTGCGAAGCACATCGGCAGCATCGCTCCTTCGCCGCCCACCCTGTCTCACACAGACCTCCTCCACATCCTTCAACACACGCACCCACTTGTTCTGTTCATCCGCACCATCGTTCAAGCCAACAATGGAAGACATCAAATGACCTGCAGAGGTGGCTCTTGCGGCAGTTTGGTACCGGCCTGGGTTTTTGATGGATGTGTTTGGTCTTGGAGTGAGTCAAATTCTCGCACATCGTTATAGAACTGTTTGCCTGGAAACATGTGTGGTATAGTGACGACTTGCGCATTCATCGCTGCACCACGTGAACACAACGTGTCTTGCGCACACATCCGTTGATTTCGGGTCTGTGTTGGTTTGTGCATGTTTTGGGATATGTTTCGGATAGTTGTAAGAACTTGAACTAACTGTTTGTGGATGCTCATTATGAATTGCAGTTGTGTACTTGCACTTCCTTGCCAAGATGTTGTCCTGTCACGGTGTTTGCGTTGATGGCTTCACGGTGTAGGCTCAAATCCATTGACCAATTTGGGCATCATGTGCAAGCAAGATGTGTCAACAAAAACGAAAACAGTTGCATGCAGAATGTCAAACAAGCCACGGTTTTCTGTTGGGACTGTCCGCGAGACCGCGGCTTGTGCAAGAGCCATTGATTTCTGCAACATAGCGTAAAATCACTGCCAAACACGCACTGTTATAATTTGTTTCTCACTTGCCTTCTTTGGTGCTGCATGCACCTATTCGCGGGCCTCTTGTCACCGCGGTCTGAAAACATGTCTTTGCAAGAAGTGACTTTGGAACGCATTACGAAGAGCAACACCCACATGGTCATGGTGGTTTTGCGTCTGGTGTACCATGAAATGAAGCAGTTGCCTGGAAAAGATAAGGGCACCTGGTGGAAGTCGATCGTTCGGCTCGTGGATCAAAAGGGACAGGGACTCTATGCAGAGATCCGGGGATCTTCTGAGAGCGGTGTTCGCAAGCGGGCCCAGGAGTTTTACCAACCCAAATACATCCAATTGACGCAAGCTGTTGCAGTGCAGAATTCACTTTTTTTGTCCGGTTTCTCTGCCGATGTCACGAACAAGGGCAAGGTGCGCGGCCTTTTCCCCACCGCCAGGTCCAACTTTGGTGTTTTGGCGGAACATTCCGAAGGAAAGGAGAGGGCGGATGTCATTGGAAAGGTGACCCGGAAGGAGACGCCCACGATGAGAGTCCAAAAGATGACATTGTGGCTGAAGGATGAGTCTTTCAACGAACTGGCTGTGCATCTATGGGGAGGGCGTTTTGTTGCCAAGGGCAACGAAATCGATGTTGGCTCGGTGGTGCAGGTGGACAATGCTTTGTTGTCGAAGATCCCTGCCGGCATCGAGGCGAGCTGTGAGCACTGGATGGATAGCAGCAGGAATTGGTTCAGTGCTTTGCATGTCAATCCCACAGGCAGTCGTGTCAAGAAACTGAAGGCTTTGTCCGACACGCGGGGTGAGGCGCTGTCCGTGCCTTGGCTCCAGACTGCTTCACGTCGAATGGTGTCGGATGGCATGGAGAAGTTCATTTCGTGCTGCGCCACTGTATCTTCGTGCTCTCTGGCGCTTACGGATGCGATGTTAGAGGCCGCTGTGTCGCGCTGAACTAGCTTGTAATGAACACGCTTAGTCCGTGTGATTGGGAGTCTTTCTTTGTTGATTGCTTGTTGTGTTTTCCCTTTCTTTATCATTATCTGTTGTCAGGCACAGCAAGAGATCATCGAAGTGCAGTTGAACTGCGTTTGGGTCACAGGCATCTTGGGGGATCCCATCTACACGGCATGCAAGAATTGCGCGACGAAGGTTGATTTGATGACCGGGCATTGCAAACGTCATGAAAGTCACAACTGCCAAACGATTCGAGAGGAAGAGGTATCCATCTTGGCCACAGTGACTTTGGCAGATCACACCGGTGAAGTTGACAGAGTCTTGGTGGATGGGGACAGGTTGCGGTTGCTGGCAAATGCCAAGAGCAAGGAAGATCTGGTCGCCCTCTTGACGAAGCGTGGTCCGCAGGCCGTGTGCTTTTGTCATCCAGTGGACGTCCGCTTGGCTACCAATGGCCGCAAGCCAGGCGGCGGCAGATCCAACTTGCCTGCTGCTGCGCAGGGAGTCCTCCAGTCGCAGGAGACGGATCAGGAGAATTTGCCCGAGTGTCAGTTTCAGGTGCTCGCCGCACAGCACGCTCTCTGCCAGAGGTATTCGGATGCACAGCGTCCGATGATCAAGAAGGTAGTTCGAGTGGAGAATCAGAGGGCGACGGGAATGGTGTTTCCGATCGCTTGCCCTCATGAGAACCTGTTGTTCTCTGGCTTCGGTACCAAGCTGCGAGCCGCGGCAATCTTTCCCAGCTATGTCACTGTGTTGGTGCGGGCAGAAGATGAGGAAGCCAAGATCGTTGAGACGGGCACGGGGGACGACAAGGTCATCATGCTGCAGTATGAGAAGGTGGTGGCAGTGGAGGCGTCGTTTCCCAAGCATTTCCGGGCGGAGGCCTTTTGCCAATTGCAGCAGGCGATTCGCTTCAACATGTGTGATGGCAATGTGCATCTTGTCATCGGCAAGGTGACGGCGGAAGATGATGGCTCCGACATGGTTTTGGTTACGGAAAGAGTCTTCAAATTGCAATCGGAGGAACAGGTGAAAGCGATCATGGCCGAGCGTGCCGCCATCGCAGCTGTGCAGATGATTTCTTCGAAAAAAAGACACGCCGTCGACTTGGTTGAGGAAACGCCCTTGAAAGTGAAGAGTGCCAAGTGGTAGTTTTTTTTTGGCCAATGCAATATCATTGCTGACAGTGATGCTACAGGGACTGTCCGTGCATCACGCAGCGTGATTCTTTGCACCACGGCTTTTTTTTTATTTCAACCAGCGTGGTATTTCTGGCTAGGAAAGATCCATGCTGTGGAGGGTCGCAGAAAGTGTGTTGCGTCCTGAAATGTCTGTTAAACACAGAATTTTGACGGGCTTGATGCTTCAGGGACTGTCCGTGCATCGAGCGAAAAAGCAAGGAAAATGGTGCTATCCGTGCCATCATGATAAGCATTCGTTTGCGTGCTTTTGTTATTCTTTGTTTACAGTTTCACCGTACAGAGAAAGTCGTGCAACTGAGGTCACAGAGCAGTGTGTTGCGTCCTCAAAAATGGGGCGATGCGACTTTCTTTCAAAGGATGTCATCGACAGCATCATGGCATTCCACTGCAGCATGGCACCACTTTTGTAGAAGTATGCATAAATCAATGATATAACGTCTGTTTTTGACAGCATCATGGTACCGAGCTTTTTTGGGCTATTCACGCATAGGTTTGCCAGTGATTTGTTGATGGATGTTGCATTTCCGGCTTACATGTCCTAGATTTGTCTTTTTTGCTTTTTGTTATTGCCCTGTCCCTCGTTCCCTGTCTTTCCGTGCAAGATGGAGCCGGCAGAGGGCAAGGCCGCTGAGGCCGAGGAAATGCCACCCAAAGCAGGTGCCTGCCAGCCTCGACATGGGCATGAAAGAATTGGTCGTAAAGATTACGGGCCAGCAGCTCTAGTGCTCAGGTCCATCAAGCGGTGCAAGGTGCTTATGAACCTTTCGCTCAAGTACCGCTGCCTGGGTGAGACTGTGCTGGCGGAAACTTTGCCGGATCCCACTGCGTGTGCATCCAAGAGAAAATGGGAGACAGCAATACAGAAGGCACGTGAGACTCTTCGACTCATGGCCCCAGATGTCGATCCTGACACAGATGTCGACATTAGCCTTGCTGGCACTGATGCACTGCCATGTATTTCAGCAGGGTGTGAGCTGGAGCTTGCTGAATCTGATGGCGCGCCAGATTTTGATGGCATGCCTGATTTTCAATGGATTTGAATCTGGAGGAACTGCCCGTGTACTTACAAGCTTTGCACTTCTCGCATAATTAAGTCCTGTCGTCCTGTCGTTCTCGATGCTGCAAGGACTGTCTGTGCGTCGAGCGACGTGATTCTCATACAAATTCGCCTGCTTTGCGGCGGTTTGCACGTTCGGCACAAGGAACTGCAATGCCTGCCTGCACGGTGCTTCGAAAAATGTAAGAGTGCGTTGACGCTGTCTGACACGGGCAAGTTTCTTGGACGGGCGTGTTGCAGTTCCATTTGTGAAGTGTTCGTCTTGCAATGCAGTGTCGCACTTGGAAATAAGTAATGCAGTTGGTGATCATGAAAAAATGCGGTGAGGCATCTCTCTGAAATGCATGTTCTGATCTTGCAGTTTATACCTCTAAACTATTGTTACATATATGATTGACGGCATCATGGCATGTAGTAATTTTCATGGGGAAATTACTTGGTGTGGACTGCAGTTTTAATTGCTTTGACGTCGGCGGGATTATAGCTGCTGACATGGAACCCGGCGCCTTGCATCGTCGTCTGGATGACATCTATCTCCATCGAAGAGAACGGCCTGGTTTGATACTGTCAGCTGTCCATGAACACGCGTCGCCGAACTTGGCGGAGACACAGCCCATGTCGGTAGAGATTTGTTTTCGTTTGAGCATCTGGCCTCTCCAGCAGCTGAGTGCCCTTCCGGAGTTTCATTTTCTAGTCGACATGGATCCACGGGATGCCAGTGTCGATCTCTTATACCAAGAGCATTTACTGCAGTGGATGACTGTGGTGGATTTACTGGGCGACTTGGTTGGTCGCATAGAAACGCATCATGGAGGACGTTGTGACAAAAGATACATTTGCATCGCAGCGGAAGGTCATCGCCGATTCGCGGCTCGTGAGAGTTTGACTATTCTTCGTGAGCTTGCGGATGAGAATTCTGTGGTCTCTCTTGTTGCTCGCCCTTCCAGAGTTGGTAAACAAATGCTGGCTCAATTCTGGCTTCCCAAGCTTGACGCAAAGTTGGCAGCTCCAGCGTTGGCCCGACTGGACTTGCATTGTTTCCAGGTGATTTTGGCTTGGATCTCACTTTGCGGGTGGTACAACCTATGCAGAGTGAATAGACAGTGGAGCCGCTGGCTTCGTGCAAACCCGACCTTTCGATCTGTGGTGTCGGATGCGCGTTGGGCCAAGGATCCCGAGTTGCTGTCCATCCAACGGGAGGTGCGAGCCAACGAGGAGTGATCTGTTAAACGCGGAATTTTT